CTACAGGCAGGACAACGTGTTTGGAGTCTGACAGCGTCAGCAGGACCGGAGCCGACTTCATGGGACACACCAACACCTTGTCCCTGGAACACAAACACAAGTACTCTAATAAAAAGGTCTTCTTGCTGGTTCTAGTGATCTGGATAACAGGAAACAGTTTGTTCAAATAAATGATGTTAGATCTGAACTCTGTAACATCACATATGGAGTACCTCAGGGATCTGTACTTGGACCTAAGTTATTTATTTTATATGTAAATGACTTGGTAAATGTGTCAGGACTGTTAAAATGTGTTCTTTTTGCAGATGATACTACATTTTTTTGTTTGGGTAAAGATATAGAACAAATGTTGAAGATGTACAGACAGAATTTGTGAAAATACAAAACTGGTTTCAACTTAAATTATCATTAAACTATGATAAGACTATTTATATGATATTCAGTAAAAGTAAGATAACTGTCGATTTAGAGTGGATGGTGTTCAGATCTGTAGTCAGTGAAGTTTCTGGTGTTATCATTGATGAAAAGCTGACATGGAAAAAAACCACAAATAATTTAAGAACAAAAATAGCAAAATCTATTGCAGTACTGTATAAAGTAAGAGAATTATTCAATGAAAAAGCTCTGTTTATGTTGTATAACGCTATGATTGTTCCACATTTAATTTACTGTATTAATGTTTGGGGTAAAGCATGCAGAACAATTACAAATCCTATTTTTATTTTACAGAAAAGAGCCATAAGAATTATCACTAGAAAACATTACACACACACACACACACACACACACACACACACACGACGGTAATGTGTGATTGGTCTGAAGTTCGTGGGCGTGTTTGTTTGTGCTGAAAGCGCTAACGCTGCATTTACTTCAACCACTCGGTTAAAAAAAAGGGGAAAAAACCCGACTCGCTCTCAGTGCCGACTGTTACCAGGAAGCAGAGTTTTATAAAGTTAGTCAAACTGTGAAAAACTCATGAATGGAGATAAAACAGACGTTGTGCACGGAGGAATCTGACTGATAAAAACCGCGGAGCTTTAACCAGGACAGATGTGGATAAATACGTCGGGTGAGTGACAAGTCTTTGTTTTTCTGCATTGTCAGCTGTTGCGTGAAGAAACTCCATGCAGTGAGGTATGCTGCAGCGGGAATGGGGTTCCCCAGGAGCTCGGCGCGGGGTGTCTCTGGAGTTATGAAAGGTGTGTGCGAAAACGACTGCCGAACAACCACGTGACAGCGCGTCGACCTGTCGGCATCGGGAGTATGTTTCCAGCTTTAGTTTTCTGAAGAAATATGGAAAATCATAATTGTGAATGTATACGAATTATTGTTTGAGTTGATTCTTTGTTTTTTTGTGTGTGTGTGTGTGTGTAAATCACTTTTGTTTGAACTTATTTAGGGGACAAAAGGGGCAGATATTATAAGATTTATTCTTCTACTACTGCATTTCATTTTATTTGATTGTGTTTTTTTGTTGTATTTGTTTTGTTTTTAAAATGAATAAATTTCTAAATGAAAAAAAATCAAATAATGTTAGACTGACGGAGGTCCATCAGACACTCACATGTCTCTGGGATGACACTGCAGTTTCAGGATGGGGGAGGGAAAGCGGAACCTCTGGTCACAGTCTCCAGTCAGGACGTCCCACTGTGACACGATGTTGTCTGTAGAAGCACTCACCAGCTTGTGGCCATCTCGACTCCAACTGGACTCAAACAGAAATCGTTCCGTGACTCATCGTTACACAGTCAGCGGTCAGAAAACTTTAACAACCTGACCAGATCAGGCTGAAAACCACTGTCAAGGCAGGAAAGCCCTTATTGTTTTCTAATGGCAGGATTAGTTGTATAAAATAAGAGGCGATGACAAACATAAGTGAGTTTAAATAACTAAGATGATGTCTCTAATTTCTAACTAATTTCTTACCATAAAGAACAGACTGGGTGGATGTGTGCGCTGATAATTTTGGCGATTCCCCGTGTGAGGAAGTCCCAGATCACGATGCGACCATCGTTGCAGCCCACAGCCAGCAGGGTGCCCCAGCGGTTGAAGGTGCAGGTGAGGGCCATGCTGATGCAGTCCAGGGTCCCATCGGCCTCCTGTCCAAAGACAGACACAGAGTTCACGTTTCTGATGAAGTGTTCCTAAAACCAGAGGCTCACGCTGAAGGGTGGGTTTATTAACCAGTTAAAGCTGCTGGCTTACCTCTGGATAGTTCTGCCCGAACGATTCTAGAAGAAAAACCAACAATATTTATAAAGCTCTACAAATTAATGCAGCAAGGTCCAAAACATAAGGCTCTAAACAATGTAATATATTATAAATGTAGGCCAAGAATAATGCACACAGAGCTGTAACACTTGGGCTTATTAACTTGAAAAGCTAATGCTTTAATATATTTTAAATTATAAGAACAAAAATATCAGCCTTTAGCTTCATTCATTTCGGTTTCAAAATAAATATAATATTGTTTTGTAAACACAAAGATCCTGTATATCATCAGGTGAAGGAGCTGCGTTACTTAAATACAAAAACTAACCATAAATAGTCTTTATATGTAATTTATTTACAGGTTGTTTTTATTTAACAACATGTAATGTTGAATACAGATCAGAGGCTAACGGAAGCTAACTAAAGCTTGTTTTGCGTCCATGAAAACATTAAATAACTACAAACATTTATTAAATCATGTCTTAAGAACACTATCGTTTTAAAATGTCTAACATAACCTAACCATAAAACTCAAATACATTTTTAATTGGTTTGTATTTTAGCTGTTAACATTTTATGCTAACTTTCGATGCTAACCATAACAAGTTTCCAAGAGCTGAACGTAAATCGAGACGTAAAGACGCAAAAATATCTGTAATTATGTTCCTTACCGAGCAGCTCTAGATTCATGTCTGGATGTCCAAGAGTTCAAAATGTGCAAAACCCGTTATTTCCTCAATTATTTTATAGATATCAAATCGTTTTCTTTACATTTGTAGCAGCTGCCGAGAGGCTGGAGGCTGGCGCCAGTGAGGACCACAAACATTGCGACCGAGGATGTGCCTGAACAAAATACGCTTGTATTTTGTTCAGGCACATCAATGTTTGTATTTTTTCAGCCCCTGTTGAAAAAAAAAAATGTTTCTTTCGTCTTTTTGTTTAAACACAAATAAAAAAACGTGGCTATGAACATCACTAAATTATATGTATAGCACATATT